TTTTGGAATCTGGCAATTTTATTATTTTTAGTTTTCTAACTGGTTTCAGATAGTAATTGTTAAACGTCACAACTTAGATGATGATGTTTAAATGTGGCGGTCAATTTTGCATAATTAAGGAGTGTGCGCATTGTGTAACTTAGATCAGCATTTCAATTACTTGTTCTAGAATTTTTGTTTTTGTAAATTTAGCAACGAGCAGGTAATTTCAATTTCTAAGAACGTATACACTGGTAATGGGGGTATAAAAGATACTTTAGCGGTATTTGTTTTAAGTTGTTCTGTGGAATATTTCGTTGTATTTAAAGCTTTCTGACCATTTTGCAATTATTAAGAGGCATTAACACGGAAGGAACTATATTTGAAGTTTCTGTGTTGTTCTACTCAGGATCATAGTATGGTTATCGTTTGTTAGCTGTAACTCTAACCAAGTCTAGCTTGTCGAAAAATAAAAGTTCATGTTTTATTATTTGCCGAAAAAAACTTTGAGTTATTTGGCAAATTTCTGAACAAAAAAGAAATGTCTATTATAAAAGAGTAAAATGATCGAAACTAGCAGTGAATTAATGAGGCTAAGGATTTCGTTTCAAAGCTAAATTAATATTTTTTGTTTGACTTTAATCACTACTCTTTTAAAATATTCTTGCTTAGTTTTTATTTTATATCTTTTTTGATTTTTACTACAGATATCTGTGCTAGAAGAAAAATTTAACTAACAACTGTTGTGGTCTGTTGACACTTTTTATAAATTTGTGTAATTTTTGTTGTGCATTTTTTGCAGTTTATGAAATATTAGAAATAACAGAGAAAAGCTGGACGAAACGGTGAAATAGATGAAAGCAAAAAAGACAGTTTGACTTGCAAGACAGTCATAAAATACATTTGCTTGTTTTTTTCTTTATAAAAAACAAATCTTTTTTGGAAAAGTAATGAAGAAAGAAAATTTATCGTTATCTTTTGAAGCTTTAAGTTGGAATTTAGATGTGATAAAGCAACGGAACAAACTAATTTTACCCTCAAAAACTTTTTTTTTCTGCCTTATATATTGTAAAACTAAAACATTATAAGACTAGCCTTGTTTAATTGACTAGGCAATGAAGGCGTTGATATGGGCAGCACATAATCCATTTTCTGTTTTATTCCAGTGTTATTAGACAGTGTAATTACGGTTGAAGAATAAAAGTCAACTGTGTTCTGTGAAAAGGGACACTCTTCATGTTACCCAAAACACTGAACCAGAATTCTGTTGACGGTTTGACTGTTTCACTAGGAAGGAAAGTGCGAATAATTTATATTAATTGTACAAAAAATAAATAAACTTTAGAAAGTTGCTTTTCGGTCTAGTTCAAAATGTTCAGTACTCTAACGAGGCCTGAATTACCAATTATTTGGGGATGCTTAAGCACTGCAGACTACGGTAATTAGAGAGTTCATCAAACAGAGCGTTTGGTTTTTGTTCTTATGCAAAACTTTACCTATGTATGTTTTTGGACAAAAGGGAGAAAGGTTGAATAATTGTCGTAAAAGTTTTTGCTTGTTTTATTTGACCTTTTTAGAAAAAAGAATGCAGTTTTCAGTGGTTAACATTTTTAGTTAAAATCTTTTTTTCTTGTATTTTTTGATCTCATTCAATGTATTTTTTAGTTTTCTGCTTATATTTAAAACTTCATTAAAAAATCTGCTACAAGAATTGCAGCCAGCTAAGATAAACTGCAATCATTGTCAAATATGGTGTCCAGAAGTACATTATTTCATTCAATAATGTTATAAAACTATCTTATTTATTTGTTTCAAAAAAAATTTCTTTCTGTTTATGTGATTTTAGAAAATTGATGTGTCGGATCTTTGCATACTTAAAATATATCTTTTTATCTTTTTTTATTGCCTTTTACGTTTTTTTTTCATTTAATCAGGAGTGGGTCAAAAATAAAAGTTTCAGATAAAATATTTACTTCAAGTAATTACAACTGTTTATGTATAAAATATCGACAAGTGAAAAAGACTGAAGCAGATTTCTAAAGATACACCTTCATACGAGCACAGATAAAATTGTAAAACTTTTTCACTGCTCAAGTCAGTGTCATTCTATTGTCTCTATGATGAAATAATTTATAGTGGCAGCTCCTGAGTCAGTTTTTCTGAAGTCAGCCATACCTTCAGTTGATAATGTAGAAATTACTCATATGCAAATTTTATTTTACTCTACCAAGTTTCTATTTGTTACTTTTTTTGCACAGTGCACAATTTTGTTCCTAGATTTTAAGTGTAAACTCAATCAATTTAGTAAAAAGATTTAGGTAAAAAAGGCTACACTTTTCTTACTTTTTAATCTATATATTTTTGAGACCTACAGAAGAATCACAGTTGGAAAGTTTCAACAGTAAGCAGCAAGTTTCTGCCTTTTTTCTACTAAGTCATAATTCCTCTTTGCAGTTAGCAGTTGGCGTGGAACGGTATATGGCGATATGTTCACCGTTGCGACTACACCGGATACCACGCGAGATGACACTCATACTAATACCGATCGTTTGGTTCGTGGCCGGCATTTTTACACTTCCGTATCTGCTGTATCATCGAGTAACCGGCAATCGCCTATCAACACAGTGCAATTGGACCGGTCTTCTTCGACGTCATAAGAATTTAAGGCATGATATTTAGCAACGGTTCTTTAAATCACTTTTTTTAAAGATGAGGTTTGGTAAGGAGCAGTGTGTGAAGATTTTTAACTTATTAGATTATTTTCAACAGTTATTTAACTACAAACTTCGTTACTTTTATTTTAATTTGTTTTCTTCTGAAAATACTTTAAAGCAAAGAAAATTTATTTTTATGATACCTGTATCTACCTAATTGCTGCTTATTTTAAGTATATATACTTTGTTTTTTTTTTTATCTTGTTCATCTTCTTTACTTTCAAAGTTTGTACAAGTTTTTCTTTTATCTTTTTAAAATTCTCTTCGAAAAACAAATTTTTCTCGATATTTCCATAAAAAATTTTACTACATTTGAAAAGTATTTATCTTCTTCTGTTTTCACTAAAAAAATAATAGCAAAGAGCGGTTTTTTTAAATGAGTCGTAACGTTGACAATGTTAAGAAAGATTTGTACTTACTAAGACAGCGGAAGTAAAATTGACGCTTTAGGTTGCCTCCATGTCGCCTCTTTGTTTCTTGTCCTTCTCTTTTAGAATTTACTAACAAAAATAGAAAACTTTGTCTTGTTTTAGATTTAAGTACTCGAATGCTTATTTCTGTTTTTGCTAATTAATTAATTACTTTTTTATGTATCTTGTAGAAAGTAATAGGGGTTGAGTTGCAAATTTTTATCATTGTTGTTTGTTAGAATCCAGTTAGCTTACTATTCGTTCGTATAAAGATCTTTAATCAAAAAACAGTGGCTTATTTTTGTTTCACCTTTTTTTTTAGCTGGAACAAATAATTTTTTTGAGGTTGATCAATAATCATTTCAGGTTTACGTATAAGGTCCTAGAATGTGTGATGTTTTATTTTGCACCATTGATTATATTGACTGTGCTCTATTCACATATGTGTCGAATACTTTGGGGTTCACGTGTCGGGGAAACAGCTGTCTCAGATCAAATTTTAAAACTTCGTAGAGCTGTTATCAAGATGCTTATTATATCACTTTTGCTGTACTTTATTTGCTATTCACCTATGCAAGGTGAGCCTCATTTTGCAATTTATACTTTCCTTCTTCTTAATCTTACAATAAACTTTTAAAGGAAAAAAGTTTTTCAAAGTTCTCCTGTCATTTCAAAAATTTTACACGAAATTATACATTCATAAGAATGACGACTTTTCAAAGTACTTTTCTCAATGATGTGAAAGTATATATATAATATATGTACATATCGCAAAAATGAAAAAATGTTCAAAATATATTTTTAAAGTTGCAATTTAAATTAAAATGGCTCACCGCTCAGAAAATATGAATTATTGGATGTTGCTGCTATTGAAGAAATACAATTTCTGACTTTATGAATACAGAGGGAGGGAACAAAATTTTTACATGTGTTATGATCAGAGGTAACCGAAGGGAACTCAGTTTATTTTTCGACGATTATAGAAAGTTTGGAAAAAATGAAAAAGAAATAAAAGAACGCTTTAAATGTAAAATAATATTAAAAACCTCTTCCCTTTGCTTTATTTCTTGAGTACTGCGTTTATATCTATCTTCCTTCATCATTTAAGGCAAACGTATTAGGGCTGTCCAGAAGTTGATAAGAGCAAATCTGAAAAGAAGGATATGAAGAAATTACAAGTTTTATAAAAATTTCTATTTACTTATCTGCTAATGCTTAAAAATATACTAAACCTGTTTAAAACTTGACTCAGAGAGATTGTAAACGCAGTTCTACAGCAAAAAAAACAAAATCAATTTTTTAAATTGTTTGGGTGAGAAGCTATTTTAATTCAAATAATAATTTTTGAAAAAAAAACTTTTTTTTTTGGCTGATCTTATGTTTACATCCAGTATACATTTGATAAAATTACTAAAAGTTGCTTGATTGAGCTTGGCTGTGTGCTACTAGCAGTAGTGCAAATCAAATTTACTAGCTAGAACGTGATGGATGGAATTACTGAAGCCTCCTGTTGTAAATTTGTTTATTATTAAAAAATTTCTTCACTAAAAAAATAACTTCCTCAGTTGAATGCTGCGTGGGATAACTCTTATTTTAACCCTCATCAATTAAGTTGACAAAGTAACGATTTCTATGCGGCTCTTTTTACCTTAGCATGCCTACTTTGTGGTAACTTTTTTGCATATAACTCACCTATTTTTCTGCATAGTGCAATCGGTTGCATAGTGTTTATTTAACACTTTTTTCTTTTGGCTGTAAACATAAGACTGTAGGAAGTGAAGGAGGTAACGGAGGAGGAGTTAACAATTTTTGACAAGGAATACGTTAATCTGATGTTGAAAATCATGCAATCTTTGAAACAGGCTACTCTGCAACTAATTTTGTTTTCTGCTTTTGAGCTACCAATTTATGATTACAATTTTTTAATTCTGCCTCGCCTAATTTTTCACCTTGCAAATTACCAAGATTTTCCGAATATGGTGCGAAATGGCATTAGCTCAGTCATCTTTAAAGCCCTAAAAGACAGTATTTTTCATTTCCTTAAATAATTATTTTTTAATTGAACTTGCATCTGAGAGTCTTAACGAATATTTACGAAACCAACTGTTGGTACCTGAAATTATAGCTTGAGGTACTCATGCAGTTTAAAAAAATTTTCAACGAACGTTACTGAGTTTCTTTATTTTACGTTTCTTCAGTCAAAACGTACTGTCTTTAGTAACAACTGCCAAGATTTTAAACTGAAGAAACAGAACTTTGCCTTTATGAATATTTCCAGTTTCTACTGCATGAACCCTGCGGGTTTTCTACTGAAAAAGAGAAGCCTGAGCTGCAGTGTTTTGCAAAAGCGTTTTTTCGTCTCACGGTCCAGTTTGCTTAAGCGTTAACCGTCATGAAATTTTATTCCATTTGACAAGTTTTGTTTTATTTTTAACGACAAGGTTCTAAACACTGGTTTCTGTTTTTTTGCTTGATTACCCGCCTCAAAGCAAAAACTGAGTATTCAGCTATTTAGACCGGGGCTGCTATTTTTTCCAAATTATCAAATCCTTCGAAAAACTTAACAGTCTTAACGTTGCTGCAAAAACGCTTGAGTATGAGTCAGTACCGTCATTCAGAGAGTTATGTTAACAGCACAAAATAATTTCAAAAAGTGGTATTTGTACTGTTCCTGTACTCTCTTTTCACTTGCAGTAGCTAATTTTCAAAAAGAAATCTGCAAATGTGTTTGTGAGAAAAGAGAAATGATAATATAGAGGCTTTTGCAAACTACCCTGAGAAGTTTTGAAACTGTGTAATAAGTCTTGCTTATTTTCGAGTTTAACTTTACTTTTACCGACTGTGCTTAGGAATTGTCAGTCTTAAATCCAAAACATGCCTGGCTTGCCTCACTAAAATCCTCCGAATTTCGCTGCGCTGTCTCAATCTTTGCTATTAGTTTTCATTCTTCTGTTTCACCGTCGGAAAGAACACTGAAATGACAGGAGAAAGGAGAACAAAAGTTGCTCAAAAGTGGAGAATAAATGGAAATTTTAAAAAACGAGCTTTTTCACGCGAAGTCTAGGAATAACTATCTTAACATCTGCCGAAGGAAAAAAATAACATTTATCTTGCTATGAACTCCAACCAGGTTAAATACGCATCTGAAGTTTTCCAACAGACTTTGACAAAAAAAAAGATATGTACACAAAAAAACTTATGTCTCAAACATTCTTCAACTGTTTCTTTTCACTTCTTTCATACTTTGCACTTTTGTAGCCATTGGCCTTAGATTGTAAAATTGAAATGGTTTGTCTCACAAAGTGCATCCACCGAAAAGTCGAAAAAAGTTCTAAAACAACTAAAAAAGGGAAAGTCTGCTCAATAAAAACATTTTTACTTGTTTGTACCTATTTTTTTGGTCGATGGTCGTCTTCACGACCTTCATTTCACTCTTCATGCCTCGCACGAATTGAGGGAAGATACAAAATTAATTATAATAACATACGAACAAAAAGTTGTAGTATAGGCTTTTAAATGTCATGCCTAAAAATATTGTATTATTTTTAAACAAAACTGTTTTAAAAGCATGTCCTTCTTGAAATGGCAAAATTGCAGTTTGACTGCTTAACGGATTCTGAAGTTGCAAGTGAAGAAAATGATAAATTTTTCTGCGGTGGTAGTGAATTTTGCGGTACTTACTTCAGTCCCTCGTTGTGAGCCTGAAAACTACATTACTGGAAAAAAACGGTAAAGATAGCAGGTTTATCTTTTTATTGCTCTGTAGCGGTTAGAATTTTTTGTTTTGAAAATGGTGCTTTCTACTTTTATATAGCTTTTAATTGTAAACGGTTCCTGCCATCGTTTGAAATATTTAACTCTGGTTGCAGCCTCAGTGTTATCATGCAAAAAAAAAATTTCTTTTAATTTTGTAGCATAGAGTTTTAAGGAAAACGAACTGAGTAATAAATTTTTTACCTCGACATTTCAATGGCCAAAATAAGTTTTCTAACTATTTGAGTTATATTTCCGAAGTGCTTTCACTTTTGACGCACCAACTTACTAGCCTCAGAATACTGACTGTTGTTAAAGATTGAAAGCTTCTCAAAACGATTTCTAAATTAAATATTTAGATGCAGGATTACTTTAAAAACAAAATTTTTAGATTTTGAGAAATTATTTATATTTCTTGAACTTTTTGTGAAAGAATTTTTCAAAGTGTGCATTTAGAATTTATATTTGCGGCATAGCTAAGCTTTGAGTATTATACGAATGAAATTACGATTCAAGAAGTCCCAGTAATAAAAAAAATTGATTCTTCTTGTACAACAATGAGAAAAAGTTCTTCTTGAATCAGCTAGATAAAATTCGCGATGAACTTTCTGAAACAATATATATTTCTTTATTATTTATAAATTTTGAGAAAAAACCTGACGTTTTCGCGGTTAAAAATATCCCAGAAAATGCGGATTAGTAAATTACTATCTTTTTAGCTTTATTTTTAACAATTACGTTACATTCATTGCAACCTTTCTTTAAAAATTAACAAAAATTATTATCTTCTGAAATACAGATTAGTTTAACAAGCAAACCGATAGAAAATTATTAACTGAATTTTGAAAAATGTACTAAATAATAAAACCTTTGAAAAACGGTATATTTTGAGTATAAATCGTCTGTGTTGAGTGTCGACTCTATAAATCTGGAATCAGGCACAGTAAAAAGCTATAGAATGAAAAGCAATGCAGAATAACAGAATTTTTCATGTTTCTGGTGTGGCTTTTTCTATTTCTTATTGTGTAAAATACTTTGTACTCAACTCTCGTAGTTTATAAGGTCACAGCGAGGAAGTGTATTCTGCGCTTAGCGGATAGTTAGAATGCTGTGCTGGAAACCTAAAACCTCTTTCCTCCACTCTTTCTGACTTTAGTGGTTTTTTTAAAGTTTTTTTTAAATTTACATCAAATTTCCAAGTTTTTTTCAGTGTAGATGAATTACAGTGCTCTTTACTTTTGCCACCTTATATGAAGTAAACCAAAATAACAAAATTTGAATTTTATTTAAAAGCAATATAAGAAAAATGTATAGAATAAAGGAAGAACAAATTTGTTTTATTTCACGTGCTGCTACAAAATTTCCAAAGTATGAATCCGTCTTTTGAAAGGGAATTTTGCATTAATTTTATTGCAAAATAACCTTGTACTTAGTAATTTTTTTGTAATCTATTGCCAGTGTATATAATATAGCAGTAACGTTTCTAA